CGCTCCCCAAAACAAAGTCGGATATGTCACTAAGGTTAGCTCGCTCAACCGAATCATTTGCGGATAAAGCACATCGTGACTTTTGATCCGACTTTTGATCTCTCTCATTAATAAGCGCGCCTGTTAAAGTAACTTGTACGGCATGGTATCCGAAACGACTCAACACCTGGGAGCGATCGGAGTTGCCCCTTCTACCTAGAACCCCTCGTGGGGGTATGGGTATCTTTTTTAGGCGTACCAATTCAATCGAGTCTCTCGAGTTTCTAGACTGTCCGCCCGTCTGGATACTTTTTGCCTATTTCTGCTCTGGCCGGTTAATTTGATCAGACTCAAGACGAAACACGGGAGCTATTGCGGTTTTGGATTGAGGGAAATATATGGCGCAAATATCTGGTGTTCATTTCCTAGCCTTGCCTGACCCTCCTTATAACCACCTCACTGTGGCTGACATGAAAATTTGATATCATGGCCAAAAGGATGCTAACAAAAGAATCTTTCTGACAATGACGAGGTGGCCAAATCGGCGTCACAACAGCGAGGATCCAATTTGTTCCAATGGCCACTTCGAAAAGCATGTACAGGTGCCGCTGTTAACGACTAAGGTATGGAGATCCATCCATTGGAAGCCATGGGATTCATGCTGATGAAATAGGTAGGGTCCACAAGTGAGGACCTCCAAGGTCAACGAAGTTTGCTCAGAGCCAACCTGGGTACCTAGGTAATTATTGGGTCTATCCAGAGCACGTAGTAGATCTGGTGCTTATGAATGGGCTTTGGGCAAGCCAGAGCCGTGACTAAGTCCGATTGAACTGCATTAGTATTCGTTATCAAGCCAACAAGCCTCAGCCCGTGTCAACAGTTCTCTCTCACGAGACGGGAGGTGCAAGCTGCAGCTACAGCGGGGAGGGGCACCCTGATGCACCCTAGGCGCCCTGGCGTCACTGACTTGTTCTCCCCTGCAGCCCAAAACTGTCCCCCACCGGGGACTCCACTCGGCGTGTCGCCGGCCACACTGACCTCGTTTCGGCGGCGACGGCGGAGGGAGCGGAGGGAGCGGACGCTCTGAATTTGGTGAGCTTGAATCTGAGTTTGGGTCATGATTCTGAAGGTGAAGATGGCGGCTTGCCTGTTTTTGGGGAGGCTGATTCAACAAAGTACAGTACATACATAGATATGCAGCAGACAATGAAACTTTTGACGTCTTGGGTAGAGCTTCGGCCGCTCAAGGTGGGCATTAGACATCCATCATGAGAGGAGTGAGGGGGCTATGGATAAGTAGTCGCCATGAGCAGCCTCACTATTCTTCTCGGTGAGAGCTGAATACCTTGGACTTTGATATCCAATTCTATCGGCAGCATCGTATATCCTAGGAGACATCAATCAATAGTAACATACCAACGTACTAAGGCACCTTATTATTACTGTACCATACCTCATTTCGTATCATGTAGCAACACCTTCGCGGGATATCGCCCGGTCGAATTTTCTCAAGGCTGGCAGAGAAAAATGGAGACCACTAAACAATTCATGACACGACCCCTCCACCCTCCACTGTAAAGGTACAGTAAGGTAGGTACTAAGTCACCTTAGCAGAGCGAAGACGGGAGCATCGTAGGTAGACGTCAGACGTGAGGTAAGGCATGGCATGGCAAGGCAAGGTGCTGGCTCCGTTTATCTTTCCGTCATTCTACCTCGCCCTCTCCTTCTCCTTCTTCTTTTTTTCCTCCTTTCCTCTTCCTTTCTTCTCCTCCATACAACCAAATACTCATACACATATTCAAAATGGGTTACGGCGACATTGATCAGAAGGCCATCAACACCATCCGTGTCCTTGCGGTAAGCTCCCCTCCCTTCGCTTTACTTTACTTTGCTCTCGTTTCTCTTGAGCTCTACGCAGCTGAATTGGCTTTTMCCCCGCCACGGCTGCCCCGCCATTTTACTATGAGAGATGAGACACGAGACGCGCAACAATTTGATGAGGACAGTCTGCTCAAGAGAACTCTATCGCTTGGCCTCATGGCAGTTGCTCTTGTATTTGCTGTGTCCCATTGAGCCTACCAGCCTCTCAACGCTCTCACTATGAACCTCCGGTACAACATGAGTACTAACGAGCTGCCAACAGGCCGATGCGACCGCTCACAGCAACTCGGGACACCCTGGTGCTCCCATGTGAGTTTCACCACCCTTCGATGAACTGAGCGATGAGAACAACACACTGACATTGTCGTCACAGGGGAATGGCCCCAGTTGCCCACGTCCTGTTCAACAAGTTCCTCAACTTCAACCCCAAGAACCCCGACTGGTTGAACCGCGACCGCTTCGTCCTCTCGTAAGTTTTGTCCTGATTCACACGTCACTAATGCGCCCCTGACTGACTGTTTTGCGCCTCAGCAACGGACACGGCTGCATGCTGCAGTATGCTCTTCTCCACCTTTTCGGCTACGATCTCAGCATCGATGACCTGAAGGCTTTCCGAGTATGTAGCTCACTCTCTGGCTCTAACCTTTGCTTGCTCACACATCCCTCAGTCTGTCGACAGCCGTACTCCCGGTCACCCCGAGGCTCACGACACTCCCGGTGTTGAGGTCACCACTGGCCCTCTCGGTCAGGGTATCTCCAACGCTGTTGGTCTGGCCATTGCCCAGGCTCATACCGGAGCTGTCTTCAACAAGGACGGTTTCCCTCTTGTCAACAACTACACTTACACTTTCCTCGGCGATGGCTGCTTGATGGAGGGTGTCTCCAGCGAGGCCTCCTCTCTGGCTGGTCACCTCCAGCTTGGCAACCTCATTGCCATCTGGGACGACAACAAGATCACCATTGACGGTGACACTGCTGTGGCCTTCACTGAGGATGTCCCTAAGCGATACGAGGCCTACGGCTGGCACGTCGTCAAGGTCGACGATGGTGACCACGATCTCGCCGGCATCGAGGCTGCCATCAAGGAGGCTCAATCTGTCACTGACAAGCCTACCCTCATTCAGCTCCGAACCACCATTGGTTTCGGTTCCAAGAACCAGGGCACCCACGGTGTCCATGGCTCTCCCCTCAAGGCCGACGATATCAAGCAGCTCAAGGAGAAGTGGGGCTTCAACCCTGACGAGAGCTTCGCTGTTCCCCAGGAGGTCTATGACTTCTACGGCAAGCGATCTTCTGAAGGTGCCGCCCGTGAGCAGGAGTGGAACCAGCTCTTTGCCAAGTACAAGGAGCAGTACCCCAAGGAGCACGCCGACCTCGTCCGCCGCATGTCTGGCGAGCTTCCCGAGGGCTGGGAGAAGAGCCTCCCCGTCTATACCCCATCTGACCCCGCCATTGCCTCGCGAAAGCTCTCCGAGACCGTCCTCAGCAAGGTTGAGAGCGTCATTCCCGAGCTCTTCGGCGGTTCCGCCGATTTGACTGGCTCTAACCTTACCCGATGGAAGGAGGCTGTCGACTTCCAGCCCAAGTCCACTGGCCTCGGTGACTACTCTGGCCGATACGTCCGCTACGGTGTCCGTGAGCACGGCATGGGTGCCATTCTCAACGGTCTCGCTGCGTACGGCACTATCCTGCCCTACTCCGGCACCTTCTTGAACTTCGTCTCATACGCTGCCGGTTCCGTCCGTCTGTCCGCCCTCTCTCGCGTTCGCACCATCTGGGTTGCCACCCACGACTCTATTGGTCTTGGTGAGGATGGTCCTACTCACCAGCCTATTGAGACTCTTGCCCACTTCCGCGCTCTCCCCAACTGCCTCGTCTGGCGACCTGCCGACGGTAACGAGACCAGCGGTGCTTACTACGTCTGCTTGACCGCCAAGCACTCTCCTAGCATCATTGCTCTATCTCGACAGAACCTTCCTCAACTCGAGGGTTCCACTATCGAGAAGGCCGCCAAGGGTGGTTATGTCCTGCGTGAAGTCGAGGGTGCCGACATCACCCTGGTTGCCACCGGTTCCGAGGTTTCTATTGCTGTCGATGCTGCCAAGTATCTCCAGGATAACAAGGGCATCAAGGCCCGCATCGTCTCCATGCCCTGCTTCGAGGCATTCGACCTCCAGAGCAAGGAGTACCGTCTGTCTGTCCTTCCCGACGGCATTCCTTCTCTGTCCATTGAAGTCATGAGCACCATGGGTTGGGAGCGTTACACTCACGAGCAGTTCGGTATCAACCGATTCGGTGCTTCTGGTGCCTACAAGGATGTCTACAAGGCAAGTTTGATTGATGATTGTTTACATACGATAGAATATGTGACTAACCCTATTATAGAAGTTCGAGTTCACTCCTGAGGGTATTGCCAAGCGCGCCGTCGCCACCATTGACTTCTGGAAGGATGTTCCCAACATCCGATCCCCCATCAACCGTGCTTTCCAGCAGATCATCTAGATCAAAGATAATAACGAGTAAAAAGAAACGAAGGATAAGAACAAAATTACCGGGAGGATACCAGCCCGGACAGAATGATTATGCAAGTGACGACGATGGACTTGGGAGCAAGGTTTTGTGGATTTATAGCAACTTAGACACGTACTACAAGATGGAACTGAATCTTTTAGATCAAAGAACTTGACTTGATTGAGCCATTTCACGCTGTGGTATGCTGTGTGGTATCTGCCTGCCATGGGATTATATCATCTATGTAGGCAAGACATCTTTTGCTGGCTTGAAATCATCATCTCAGACGTCACATCATGCGTTTGCATGTGCCTTCTCCCCAATGCCATCTTCCTCGAAGACGGTTTCCTTAAGTGAGGACATTCTCTGTCAACTTACTCTCTTGACTTTTCTCCGTCTCATCACAGATGTCACCGAAACTCGATTGTATCATCAAAGAACATGACAATCCAAGGCGCCAAAACCTTTATCCCGTCCTTGCTAAGCACTTTTATGTCGTACTCTCACTTTGGTTCGTGGTATCGCATCGCATCGCATCGCATCGCATTATATCGCTTCGTAAATGTAATTCGTCATCTCATGTGAACGACAAGCACCCCAGCTGGTGGGTGGATGTTTCTGCACCCTGATCACTCTGGCCCCTCGTCATTTGCACGCTCTTGACTACTCTCAGCAGCCCACTCCCTCTGGAATTCTCTTCCCACGCGCTCTAACCTTGTAGAGGCGCGGCGGGCTTCTCTTGCTTCATCTGCGGACCCTGCGACGACCACACCAACGAGCAACGGGGCCGCATCCTCGGATCGTGGGTCATCATGGGACGTCACAGGTTCAGACTGAGGTGCTCTAGAGTCGGGGCCGTGGCTTGACCCGGGCGCTGAGCCCGGGCGGCTAGAGGCGGTCGCGGCGGTCGCGGCGGCGTTGTTGGTAGTTGTATCAGCAGCGTCGCGAGGATCAAGATATGAGTGTATTACAACAGGCCCACGCTCGGGGTACTCAACCATGAGACGTTGGGGACGACCGAGGCCGAGTCGCTGAGCGGCGGTCTGGGAGGAGAGGGCACTTGAAGTGAGAGCTGTGAGGGATTCGAGGTGTGATTGCGACGAGGCCGAGGTGATGAGCGGGGTGAGGGTGACGTCGGAGAGATGGAGAGAGAGGGTGGGATGTTGCGATGGGAGGTTGGCCATGATGATAATGACGAGGGCCAAAGCTGGTAGTTTCCGGGAGAGATCGACTGAATATGAAAGTTGAGGATATTCGGCGCAAAGAAGTTGGGCGCAAGAAGAATGGATGTTGTTGAGAGAGTGAGTGTGGAGGGGGCTTTAGAGAATTAAGTCATGGGCAGACGATCCGCTCGCTGTTGGAGACAAAATGGGCCCTGGGCAATGAGTGACAACTCCAGTCGACAAGGGAGCTTTTTTGGCGCCTTCGCTTGGGGCTTGGCTAAGGTAAGGTAAGGTAGCACAGGCCGGAACCCCGCTATGAACTCGGCTCTGTCACTCCCCCGCCTAATGTTAGAAGGAGCAAGAAAACCTCTGACGATGAACCAAGGTGCTAAAAATACCTAATCTAGGGCCTCTTAAATGCTCACTAAGTTATACAAAACTTACCTAAGTCTTTTTTTTCATTAGAATAAAAGTCTTGGGTTTGCTTGTCTCCCCTTTAGCCTCTACCAAGGTTGCAGCGGGATCCACTGCAGATAAACCCAGTGGAGGGTTATTGTGAAGAGGGGAAGCTGTTCATGATAAGGTTGGATCTTTTCTGGTTTCTGATATCAATTGGTCTCATGAATTTGCGAGATAAGTCGGGAGCTGTATGTTATCTATACTTATCGGTCTAGTTTATGTAATACTAGAAATGAGGTTTTATGGAGGTGATTTCATCAGCTTCAAACCCCAATATCATGACAGAGCAGAGCAAGTTCCCCCGCCTTCTAGGTACCTAAGTACCTAGGTATCCATTCCCCACTGAAGCATTGATACTGAATTTAAATGGCCGAGGTCATGGAGCTCAAAGCAACCTAACTTAGTACCAACTACCCTTCCTTACCTGAAGCCGCCGTTTTCCACCAGCTTAGGCCAGATTCAGACAACTAAAGGGACTGCATCACAGTATGTGTGGGGAGGTTGAAAAGCACGAGTTTCGCATTGTGGCCCCAATTGCGATTGCGGCGGTTCTCTCTTTTAATAATAATGAAAGAATATCACAGAATGAGAGCTTCCCTTCACCCCGGATTGAGGCTAAGATAGAGGGGGGATGGCGTCAGTCGACATTATGTTGTGATTGGTTCTTGAAGAGGATTATTGAAATCGTGGGGTACATACATACATACGGTTGGATGGCAGGGTTTCTGGCCATGGTTCCATTGCTTGGCTTCCCAAGGTAGCTTGGGCCAGACTGGACTGAGGTGAACACTAGAGAGGGGGATATATAACATATGCCTCATGTGGTGGATATTCGTATACATTCTCGGGCCATCAGTAGGTGTAAGGTAAGGTCATGAAATAGAACTGATTGTACTCCGTATTCAGGACACGTTCCTTCTTTGCCGTGTGGCTGTATATACACAGGATGAGGATAGGTTCCCTGCATTGATTATCTGACTAACAACGAGAGCAAATGTAACCCCACGATGGTTGAAGATAAGAGGCAGAAAGGTGAGTCTCAGTGTTGACACATGATACACAACCGCCACGAAGTTACTGTTGCTGAGAAGGCATTGGCATATTTGCTGGTGATATATTTCTATTGCTTGTTTGCTCAGTTACGAGTCTTAATTACATATGAGCATTTGTCTCTTTTCGGGGCGGGATAATATTCCCGCCCTTTTGGAGGTATATAATTATCCTGTGCATCCAGAGCCTGCTTTATCTTGGAGGTCACAGTGAGGCACGAAGTCCTCTGAGAAGACCAATGCACAACGCCATGAAATATCAACCTCGTCTCGTCTTACCTCGCCAATATAGTTCAATTCTTGGCTGGCCGACACCTCCCTTCAGTTGCCATCAGATGTTAACATGCCCTCAAACGTTGCGTTGGAGCTTGTTGTAAGATCAACGAGTGGCCTTTCCTACTGTCGCTTCAAACAGGAAGACGGTGCATGGGTACAGCTCACGGAAGGCTGGTCACTGTGGTATGTACGAGAATCTGAGAATTGCTTCTCGGATTTCTCCTGAGTAGCCAAACCAGTCATGCTTTGGTGTTAGTCTGTGTTGCCTCTCTCTGCTTTCCATATGGCTAGAATACACTTTCTTTACCCAGGATTCCTATTTTGTTTATTTTATGTAACCTTATGCGGCTACCCTATTAATTCTTTGTGAGAATACATACTTTCTTGATGGGCAGTTGGTGCTACCAGGATATTAGTGAAACGCAACAAGGGTTGATACCTGGGCTAGGGGAGGAAAGAAAACTCAAGACCTTAATCCTAAATGACAAAAAGACTTAGGTAACCTAGTATAAGTTTAGGCCAGGTCTAGGATATCTTTTGCTGAGTTTATTTTAACACCCTATCTTAAGATCTGGTGTTTTATTGCTTCCCGAGGCTGGGTCTATAATCCCCAGGTTGATCTCTCAGCTACCTACTCTGGCTCTGGTTCTGGTTCTGGTTTTTTCCCCTTTGTTCTTTTAGTCCCCTTTGAGACGACTCTTCGCTCTCTTATTCTTCATTTTGAATTCTCTTGGGCTTTCTACGTCGGACTGACACAGCATGATAGTCAACTCTTTTCTATGACATTTTCTAGTCTCAATAAGGTATTTGACATCATACAGGACGTAATTCGGGGGAACCGTTTGGGTTTCCAGTATATTTGTAGGTTTTCTTTCCTTTTTTATGAAGTGCCAAACCCAAACTGAACCTTGCTATAGGTAGTTAACTAGAGCACTGCCGAGACTCTTCCAAAAACTTACCAATCTCAGGACTACCTACTAAGGTAGGCAAGACAGGCTGTCGTATTGTAGATGTACAGTCAACTACTTGTCTTTTAGAGTCCGATTCGGTATTTCCATCAGTTACTGCAAAAAACATATTCGAAAAATGTTAAATGTTGTAAATGTGCAGGATCTACTCTCTGCATGTCTGAGCTGATTGATTGATAACACTATGATGTACCTTGGTGTTAGATGTGCCCTGTACCAAGAGACCACTGAATGAGTGTTAGACTACTAATGCAACGGATAGAAAGATAACTTGAAGCTTCGGGGAGCTCGAGGTGAGATATGATGAGTTTTTAGTAACCACTACTGTGATCTCGGCATATAATCGATCAGGGTCTGTTATTGTTGCATAACTGCCCAATTCGTACAGAATATGCACAACAATCGAAACGGACAACGGTAGATCATGCTGATTGGCCCGGGCCAACGTCTTGAATGTGAGAATGCAAAGCTGGGCTGGCAACTGTGCAGCTGGACCGCCTTATCTTGGGAGCTGGCGTGGGGCAACCAAACAACACCAAGCTACCTTACCTTACCTTACATTGCCTTACCTTACTGCACCTATGTAATCGCAGAAATAATGGGGGAGCTTTCTCCTGAGACAGTGTGGCCCGTAGCTGCATTTTACCTTCGGCGAAGAGTCAGTGCAAATATGGCACTCTAAAGGCGACGCAGGGACCAAATACAGACTTCCATCAGGTGAGGGTTGTTCGTATAATGTTATGGTATCCTGAGGTGCTCCGGCAAGGCCGTGTCGTGAGTCGTGAGTCGTGAGCCGCGTACCTAATGGGTTGAGTTGAGCCTCCAGTTGGTTGCAGGTAAAGCGGGACGAGTGTAGTGGTGAGTTTGGTGTGTTGCCCCGTAACATGTGCTGAAGTTTAGGAGCAGGAATGAAAGCAGGCTCAGTGGGTCCAAGTCCTATCGAATCTGAAGCTGCCCATGAGATGTCTCTGTTACCGCTGTTGATACTGTGATGATTCCATTGAATCAGGCTGATCGGATCGTGTTGGATAGACGATAGTTGTCAGGAGCTCAATCCATGGAAATGTTGTTTTCATGAAGCACGCTGTGGAGGCCTACCCTATGGAAAGTTAGGTAGGTACCTGCCTGGTAGCTGGTGGTGGGGTATCTGAAGAAGAAGCTGGTCTGACATGTCCCCATACACCACAGAGTAGCCTGTGTGGTACTTCGGCTCTTGAAAAGCCCATCAGCTCAGTAACAATCCAGTAGCCTAGCTCCCTCCACGACACCTCATAGGCGGCGTATGAGCTGCCTGTCTCTGCCCGGCTCTGGGGCTGGGCCTCATCGACTGGGGAGACCCATGCTACCAGGACCTGACCCAGCAGATGGACTCTGGCGATCCGATTTACAGTGCCTTAGCAAATCTCCTCTTGTACTGGACAGCCCAGCCCAGCCCAGCCCAGCCAGACCATTCATCCTTACTTACGTTACAGGGACAGGACAGAAGTCATCACCACCACCTACCGAACTACCTCTAGGTTATCCATCCCCCATCCTCTAGGTTACTTGCTGTAGATTTACATTACACTTCCCTTCCCTTTTCTCTCTCTCCCTCTTTTTCCCTCCTCCACCTCCACATCCTCCGCACGCCGCCTCTTCCTCCTCGCCCGGCTTCAAGTTCCCTGTCCCGTCCGGCCTGGCCTTGACTCGACTCGCTCTCCGTCCACGACGTAGCCCGTGCTTGCAGTTTTTTTTTTACTACTACAACTGCAACCATTCGCGGCTGAGAGCTGACAACGATTTCCATCTCTTGTCATCCCCTCTCTCGTTTTCGATCGGTTCCTTCGTCTAGCGTCTGCTTGCTTGTTGCATTTTTTTGTCCGTTACGACTTATTCTCATCTATTGTCTGGCTTCTGGTTTATTTTCATCGTCTGCCGCCGGCCGGTTCTCGTTTCCCTCGGCGTATCAACCACTCATCGATCGTTTCGTCATCCCACGGTTTCTATCGTTTTCCCTCTCCGGCCTCCGCCGCCGTATGACCCGCGAGCCCCGTCGCATCCATATCATCGAGTCTCCGAAGCCCCCTCTGTCGGCTCCTCTGTCTCCCTCACCGCTGCGCAATCATGGCTTCCGCTGTTCCTAGACGTAGGAAGCTTATCGGTCAACGTCGCCGTGTTGAGGACGAGGGCGAAGACGAGGCTGGCCCGGAGACCCTCGACCTCGATGACGATTCCATCACCGACGGCTCCCTGACAGATGACAATGATCCTGCAGATGATAGCGATACCA